CACACACACACACACACACACACACACACACACACACATACATATTCCATCGATAGGATGAGCAAAAACGAAATGAATCCTCCGCTGAAACGTGGAAACACACACACATTCCATCGATAGGATGAGCAAAAACGAAATGAATCCTCTGCTAAAACGTGGAAATATACACTGCCACTTTTTAATTTGCTAATTCTATCGATCCAAGTAGCGTGCGGCGAGGGGCGGGGTTGGAGACTTAGATGTTGGCCCAGGTTGGAGACTTATCGGCTTTCTCTCTCTCTCTCTCTCTCTCTCTCTCTCTCTCTCTCTCTCTCTCATACACACACACACACACACACACACATTCCATTGATAGGATGAGCAAAAACGGAATGAATCTTTCGCTGAAACGCGGAAATATACACTGTCACTTTTTTAGCAAAATCGGAATGAATCGTTCGTGTGTGTGTGTGTGTGTGTGTGAGAGAGAGAGAGAGAGAGAGAGAGAGAGAGAGAGAGAGAGAGAGAGAGAGAGACGATAACTCTTCGACCTCGCGGCTCCCGCCATGCTACTTCCATCGATAGGATGAGCAACATCCAATGAATCTTCGACTAGAACATGGAATTCCAACTGTTGAACATCTCTTTCCTTCGCACAACGGCTACCCGCCGCCCGAAAAAATGACGGGGAAACACAATTGCACGACAAAAACAAATATTGCACCGGGCGATACCCTTCCAACCGCCACACAATAGCCCAAAAAAAACCGTGCTCCGAAACGCTTTTACCGCGCGGCGACACCCTTCCAACGGACGCACGGCAGACCCCAAAAAAAACGTCCGATTTCGCGAAATTCCTGTTGGGTCCGCGCCTTGCCGCCCAACTCTTTCCCAACACAGACAGACCGGATGCGGGACAACGTCACGCGAGACCCACTCTTCCCTTTATAAAGAGTATATAGATGAAACATTGAAAAACGGGGTTAAAAAGCACCACAATATATAGAGTCATGGGGCTCACAGGGGTGCCACCAATGATGTTGGTGCAGTGCTCGCTATCATATGCAACCGATCATTTTGAGTTGACTGTTGTTTTTGGTCGACCCGTCAAGTAATGACTCATTGCCTTAGCGTGCTTTGACACGATGAATATGTGCGCTTAGATCTTTGATTGCAATATGACGTTTCACGCACGTCCTTGTTCCCCATACAGTCGTAACCATGGTGTTAGCAACAACCTTGGTTCGAGCAACAACTTATGAATTAACAATGATTGGATACGAGAAAATTTTGTAAACTACTACCATAAAGCAATTTTCACACCACTCAAGGATCATTGTCAATCACTAGAAAGAAATGGATTTCAAGGTACAGTCTTTACTTTCGATGATATTACTATGGTAACCTCTTCTCCTGAACTAATCTTTAAGTCATATGTGAGTTACCTTATTCTTCTTTTTGAAGTAGAGTGAAACGCTTAGTGAAGTTAGTGTATATGCCCTTCTTTAATGTTAGGTACCGAACCAAGTATTATTTCTTCTAATGTGTTAGAATAATTAGACTATGTCCTTGTACTTCTGGATGATGTTATGTCAACTTCATACGCTCGGCTCATGAATTTAGGCTTACTGCTGCTTCAAATTGCACTACATACTAAATATTGACGTCCGCATTTTGATTCATCCTCATTCTAATTAGATCCTTTGACTATCGCCAACTGCACGCGACTCCACATGCCCTGTAAATATATGTTGTAGAGTCATACTTTAAGATGCTGGGTCAATCAGTAGGCAACACGGTAGCGGAGGGTTGGATTGCACGGGGGGGTGGGGGAAGGGGGACCCTGAGGCAGGTAGCGGAGGGTTGGATTGCAGGGGGAGGGGGGG